TAATTCATCCGCAACAACAGGCTTCTACTATTGTCTATAATCATTTAAATGTCAGGCCTGATTACACTATAAACTGCAAACACTTATTTTGCCACAATTGTGATTATTCTGTTAAAAGGAATGGTAAATAATCACAAACAACATACATTGCTATTACCATGTAAGTAAAGTGATGTTTATTTGCATGTTATGTCAGTTCGATCCCGATAAAAGCAGCTGTATTCATAAAGAGATTGGGCGATACAGCTTTAACATACTGCGCTCGCTCCCATAGATGGCAATCAGTTTTCGGCGGACGATCACTTGTCAGCACGACACCTGTCTGCTCTGCTGTCCAGTCTTTCTGGCCATGTAAAATCTAATTTCAGGTCTGTTAACACCTTACACAGTCCATGATTAACACACAGTTAAAAACAGGGACATTTCCAGGGGCAGCTCCAGACGGGGCAGGCCACCAAACCAGGAAAACAGGGACGTCTGGTCACCCTAAGGTAATCACAGAAACATCAGTGAAATATTTATTCAGTCTCTCCTCCACACCCACCTTCCCTTGTGTCTCAGTCAGTGAGCTTATAGATACTTTCAATTCTGAAATTACCATTGTTGTTGATGCCACTGCTGTGCTGCTGCACCCACTACTGTGATGGTGGTCTCTGGTAAGAAAAGATCTCCATGGAGAAATGTCACGCTGGTATGAATAGGAAAAAAAAGAGTGTCAATAAGCTGGATGCAGGTGGTTAAAAACAAATATCCAGGTTAATAATCTAAACAGTCTTTCTATTTATAATTTAGGCTAGAGCTGAGAAATGCAAGGTGGTCCTTCTGTTCTGGCATCATCAGCAGAAACAATAATATTGCACAACCCTTGTTTGCTACTCTTGACAGGCTAACCAACCCTCCTGTGTCAGTAGCCTCTGAACTTCTATCTATCAGGGCGTGCAATTAATTTGTATCCTTTTTCATTGACAAAATTTAAAAAAGAAGACAGTAGCAGTCAGTGCCTCCATACCAGATACAGGATATGTGTCCCTACATGTGTCCAAATAAAATCTGGTTTGAATTCTACATAAATAAAGAACAGGGACAACTTTGTAAAGGTAATTACACATCTGAGCTGACAAAAATGACCTTTGGAGTTCCCCTAGGCTCCATTCTGGGGCCTCTTTTGTTTATCATCTACATGCTTCCACTGGCCACTGAAAAACAACAAAATATGTTACCATAAATGTGCAAATCACACAATTTTCTTCTATTAAATTAACATAAAACTGAAGTAACTGTTTTTGGAGCAAAGGAAGAACTATTAAAAGTCAGTGCTCAACTTGAATGTTAAAAACCACAAGTGATCATGGTGTAGGCATGGACTCAGACCTGAATTCCAACAGCCGCTCCGAGGAGTGAGGAGCGATCTCTGAGGAGCTATGAGCTAGGATACAGTGTGCATGCAGCCTTCGTGGAAGTCTTTTATTGAACGACACGCCCCCTTATTGGATAGTCGTTATATTAACTGGACGCTGCAGCTGAATCGGACTGATCTGATACATCCAACACACATCAAGACATCGCTGCAGTTTCAGGCAGTATAACAGATTAAACTCAAAGTGTATCACTGCCAAGTTTTATAGGCCTATATGATTTGTTTTATGATTCACCATCTTGTTAAAATCTGTGTATCTGTAGGTCTGAACAACAAGCGCCACACACAACTTTCTTCATTTCTAAGAAAGGTTTCTGTTTTCTGTTATTTCCCCCATTAACTTTTATTATGGAGACAATTCAAGTCAGAGAGAGTTGCAGAGTGTCAGCAAGAAAAACTTTTTGCATCGTTTGTCATTTTCATTCAGTCACATGAGGCTGATCATTCCTGAGTGTTTAGTCCAAATAGACAACAATAACACGTAGTAAATGACCAAAGAGTTGGACTAAACAAGTCACTAAACTGCACTTAAGACCCTGAAAAAGGCCTGCACATCCAGCCGATCTCACCAACTGCATCTGATGAAATAGTAATAATAATTTAAGCAACATGCCAACAGAAAATTATCCTGTGCTTCTGAACAGGACACTGTATAAATACAGAATACATGTGTGCAGGTGTTTAACAGGTAAAAGCTACAGAGAGAAAACATGTTGCTCTAGAGTGAGACTTGTGCACAGTGCTCATGTGTGCGAACACAAACTCCATCAAAGTCTCTCCAGCTGTTAACGCTGATTGACAGCTTTGATCAGCTGTGATCAGCTGCCGCCGTCATCAGAAATGGTAAACGCTTTATGTGACTCTTTGAAGGGAAGAACGTCTCATGTCTCTAAAAACATATTTTCTTGTTCCTTCTCTCCTAAGAGTAGGAAGGAAAAGACGCAGGTGAGGCAAACTTGGATGCAATTAAGAGACTTGGGAATCACCCAAAGTCGGCCTACTATCACCTGAAGAATATATCAAGAATTAAAGGACTTATGTCTCAGCAGACCTGGAAAAAGTTATCCATGCATTTATCTTCAGTTGACTCCTGAAACTGTGTCTTTACAGGGCTCGCTAAAAAATCAGCTGTAGCTGATTCAGAACGCTGCTGCTCGAGTCCTCACAAAGAATAAAAGAGTGGATCATATCACTCCAGTTCTGAGGTCTTTACACTGGCTTCCGTCTGTCAAATAATTGATTTTAAAATATTACTGTTGGTTTATAAAGCGCTGAATGGTTTAGGGACAAAAAACATTTCTGATCTTCTGCTACACTATGAACCGTCCTGACCTCTCAGGCCATCTGGGGCCGGACTGCTTTCTGTCCCCAAAGTCAAAACTAAACTCAGATAAAATTCAATATAAACTATTGACCTAAAATATTACTGTTGGTTTATAAAGCGCTGAATGGTTTAGGGACAAAAAACATTTCTGATCTTCTGCTACACTATGAACTGTCCTGACCTCTCAGGCCATCTGGGGTCAGTCTGCTTTCTGTCCCCAAAGTCAAAACTAAACTCAGATAAAATTCGATATAAACTATTGACCTAATTACTGAACAACTGACACCACAAGAACAGTCTGCAATCAGATTAAAATCTACTAAGAACAGCACACAATTCAAACAAGTGATTTTGATCCAACACAGAAAACAGAGCAGCCAAGCAGATAATGCCTATTTGAAAAGTAAATATGGTCTAATTCTAGCAGTCTTTGAGTAAGTTATTCCCCGAATCAGGGATGTCACAAGGATTGAAAGATAGGGGGAGCATATGCACCAGGGTATGCATAACTAGCGCTTGCAAAATCATCAAATCAAATTACACTAACTACTGTTAGGCTACTGCACTTTTTCAATCAGAGTGTGATTTTCCTCTGTAGTTTGGCTTGTATGCCTTGATGCCTAGACCCGCCAACAAAACACGTTCATGTTAAACATGGCCAAAGCTTCAAATAATGAGGTTAAAGTATTTAAAAGAAATCCCTGTGAGCAAAAACCTCAGAATTCCTCCTGTTCTGAACGCTCTGTTTTCAACAGTTTTTTCCTACCAAGGGCTCCTAGACTTACGGAGCTAGACGGAGCCGGTATTCCATATATGGTCATTTGCTTCACACAGCAACGGCACTGCAACGCTCAGTCCGTCTGTACCGCTCAGCGACAACAACAGCCTGCTTCAGGTCTTGGCCAATCAGAAGACAGTGGGCTTTATATTATATTATAAGACATTTTTTTTTACTTTGAATCATGCAAAGCTGCCATACAGGAGTCACAGAACTACAATGTAGGACTGGAACAGTCATTACCAACAACTGTCATTTTCATTCTGTATCATTCACTACGCTGAATCAATCTTCCTTCACCATTCATTTGTGTGTGTGTGCGCGTGTGTGCGCGTGTGTGCGTGTGTGTGTCGGTGTGTGTGTGTGTCGGTGTGTGTGTGTGTGCGCGTGTGTGTGTGTGCGTGTGTGTGTCGGTGTGTGCGTGTGTGCGTGTGTGTGTCCGTGTGTGTGTGTGTGTGTCGGTGTGTAGTAATGTTGCTCAGCAGCTGAGCAGAGAAGTGATGAAATGCAGCCTTCGTCAAGGTCCTAGTGCCCGACCACTCTAGGGATTTAAATTGTGAAGCAGAGGAAACAACCAATAAATAGAAATTATATTTGTATTATTAGTATTTATCAATATTCATGCTTCTCTTGTTGAGTACATGCCTGCACTATAAAAAAAAAAATCAAAATCCAATAATTACTTTTCTTAGTATTTTGGGGGGGCTTAGGGACCATTTTAGGGTAGCTTCAGCCCCCATAAAATAGGCCTAACGATGTCCATGCCCAGAATTCAGAATTCAGAATGAAACTGCTTCAGTTTCAGGGTCCTGGCATTGTGAATGCTGGCTCACTGTCACACTCTTATTTGGACACTTGAATAGAAGATTGCCGTCATTAATGTTATTAGTGCCACCTGTGCTTTTCCTACTATGACAAGTCAAAATATCTTGTGTTTGCTGGCATTTTTTGAACAATAATGTTTTCTGGAGGTGGTAAACAGAAGTTAGTGATTAACACAAAGTCAAGCTGAGGACTGAGAATATTAGTTTTGCAGGTATTTGGCCATAAACCAAAAATAACTTTTGTCCCGATGGCAGTGCTAGACAAAAATCTAAGGAACAGCAAAATTATACAAAAAAGCCCTATACAAATCATCCTGTGGGGAACAGGAGTGGCTGTACCACACATTTATTATAATTCATCCAGTTCCGTTGAGACATTTCTGGATGGACCATAGGGACCACCAATATGGGTGTAGTACAGTGCACTAGTGCAAAAAGAACTGAATAAAACAAAGCACCACAATGATTCTCGGTGTCATGTATTCAGTCCACTCAACATAACAGTGTGACTATTCAGTTAGCAGCATGATGCAAACATAATAGGATGGAGTGCAATTTGTGCTATGGTGATTACTACACTTATAAATGCACATGCTAATTTGGATAAAGCACAATATTGCTTTTATTAATCTTTGTTTACATCTTTATCTGTGTTAGGTTGGCATCGTACTCCACTATGCTTCTTTGTCTACCATGCTGTGGCTGACATTTACTGCTAGAAATATCTGTAAAGATGTGTCCAAAGACCCACTTCGGGCAAAAGACAAGAATGGGACGGCCCAGACACGCACCAAACCAACGATTCTCAGGTACACTGTAATATTGTAAGTAGGTGTTTATGTGGACACCGGGGCTGAGCAATGTCCTGATTAAACACACACTCATTAATTCACAGCAGTGCTTTGGACTAAATACTTAAGTCAGCATGGCAATTATTCTCTGAATGAAAATGTTAACACACTGCGAATTAGCAGGTATATTGTTCACCCGGCTCTGTTGGATGTATGTTATATGTATTATCTTTGGTGGTTAGCATGCTAACTTTGCTAATTAACACCAAACACAGTACAGCTGGGGCTGATAGGAATGTCATTAGCTTTTCAGGTATTCGGTCATAGACTTAAGAACAAATTGGAGGATCACCAACGCTGTTACAATTCATGAGGGGAGCATGGAATACCTGAACCAACTTTCATGGCAATCCATCCTAAAGATGAACAGTTCACAAAAAAACAAAAAAGTCAATGGCGGAAAATGAAAAGAGGATCACAAAGTCACAAGGATTCATCATCTGGCACTGGATAACAGTATCACATGTCGTGGCAATCCATTCGACAGTTTCAACAAATTATAGAAATAGAAATTGGGATAGAAATTTTCATCCGGAACCGGCCGATAGACTAACCAACATTGCTGTACCTTGAGCCACACCACTAGTGTGGCAAAAATGAGTTTGTGGTTTTCAAGAAACTGTTTCAGCGTGTATGTAAGACTAAAACAACAAATTGTAGAGATCAGTTTAGTTTGATTCATTTCCTTTTTTCTCTGCTTCACCTGCAAATCCTCAAGCCAGTATTTACAGTATACTTTATAATTTTCACTTTTTTTGCAGATTTTATCTTGTAAGCGATGGAATCCCTCTCATTATTGTTGGAGTTACAGCAGCATGTGGTATGGATAACTATGGTAGCAGGGATGACGCATTGTAGTAAGTACTTATTATCTCTGAAAAAATCATGTTTTCACGAATTGTTAAATTGTTAATAAAATAAATATTTGTATTTTTTTCAGTTGCTGGATGGCATGGGAACCAAGCCTGGGAGGTTTCTATGCCCCTATTAGTCTTCTGGTCTTAGTCATGTCTGTGTACTTCTTGTGCACCTACATCCAGCTTAAACGCCACCCAGAGAGGAAGTACGAGCTGCGTGTTCTGAGTGAAGAGCAGCAGCAGTTATCGTCCAGTGAATCAAACCATCACTGCCACATCGACGCCGGAGGAGCTTCTGGGTCTGCTGGGGACTGTCTGCCATTTGCAACAGGCGTGTCGGTGCTGGCCAATGAGCACTCATTTAAATCTCAGCTCCGGGCCACAGCCTTCACCCTTTTTCTGTTCCTGGCTACCTGGGCTTTAGGAGCGTTGGCAGTATCACTGGGACATTTCTTGGATATGATATTCAGCTGCCTGTATGGGGCTTTTTGTGTCACTCTAGGACTCTTCCTTCTTATCCAGCACTGTGCCAAACGTGATGATGTATGGCACCGCTGGTGGGCTTGTTGCCCTTCCAAGTCCAAGACAAAGGAAGAGAATGGGGACGGACAAAGTCAGAGGCAGGAGCTCCATCAGCCACACTGCCAATTGAGCTCCCCATGCTCAAGCAAGCAGCCGCTACTCTCTCCTCACCTTGTGCAGAGTTCTTACCACAAAATGAGCCCACCTCAGCAGAGCCTCACACCCAATCACACGGGCCCATGCTATGTGGCCGTTACCACACCTCTCACTGAGCCACTGCCCTCACCACGTCCACTGTCACTTTCTGATGAGATCCCTCGTCCTGCTCTGCCTCTACAGAGCTGCCTTAATAACAGAACAAAGTCACGCTCCTTCAACCGCCCACGCCCATGCCTCCAGGACTACCGTTCTCACATGACTTCCACCAGTATGGATGGGAGTGTGCATAGCTCCCACCTCGACAGCCCTCATGCTGTGCAACACCTTGAAGGCTCGCCACTGGTTTCCAACAGCCCACACCCAGATCTCCAGCTTCCCTGTCCCAGCCCTCACTTGGATAAGCAGGTAGCTTCCTGCCAGAGCTTGCAACGCCAGACCTCCTGCCACAGTGTACAAGACTCATTGACTTCCTGCCACAGCCATGCACACAACATGCATGACAGCATTACTTCCTGTCATAGCCTCCTCCAGCCTTCTCACGGGGTCCACACCTGCCAGTGGCACATGTATAGCTCAGCTGGGCACTCTTCCACTACAAGCTGCTGTGAGAAACCCGATCCCTTCAGCTTGCAATATCAGCAAGATCCCGACACATACAACTGCATGTCAAAGGCAACAGACAAAAAAAAGGATAATCTCTGCATAGAGGATGAGCAGAAAGGTTTCCCAAGAAATACTCTGCCTCGGCAGCATGGCACTGTCAGCCGGCGAGGTACCATCGGCCGAAACAGGAGCCTGCAGGAAGATGGCCTGTTCGGCTCAGATGCCATAGGAAACATAAGGACTGGCCCTTGGAAAAATGAAACAACAGTATAGTTTTCTTATACTTGTACTTTCAGCATCCCTGTAACTGTAACACCTACTCTGTGTTGGGGTCTTAATGCCTTCAGCTTTGCCATTAAACCACAGGTTGAGTTTTCAGTGAGGCCTCGTATCTCAAAGATATTTCAGAGCCCTTTATGACAGAGTTATCTTTAAGTGAATTGCTAATCAGTTTTTTTTCCAAGGAATAATCAAATGCAAGAAAGGCTTAATAAATGTTTAAATATTAGTCTTCTCCATGCAGTTCAAAGTTGCATTGCAGTATTGGATGGCTCTTTTAAGGGCACAGTGGCTCAGTAGTAAACAGGTCACAGCAAGAAGATCCTGAGATCCTGACCCCATCAACTTCCAGTTGGGGTTTTTTTGTGTATAGTTTGAGTGCTCTCCCTGTGTTTGTGTCAGTTGCTCCACATTCCTCCCACATAACCAAAGACATGCAGGTCATCTAAAAGGAATACTGCTGCCTAGAGGTCCTAATAGATTCAAAACCTTGGACCTGATCCCAAACAGATGTGCATTATTTACACGAGGACGGTCAGATCCGATCTGAATTAACCCAAAGATTGTGTCTAGGATAGAGCTGATAGCAAGTCTGCTTGGATCCCTTTGGGAATTAGACATATTGATATATGGACCTGATACCTTTCATAATAAAACTGTACCCTACCCAGTTTGGTTAGGCTGAGTACACTGTGTGTGCTCCAGAGTACCCTGCACGTGCCTGCTCAGGGTCCCAGGGTCTCAGTTACTAAGAACCACATGGACCTGTAAATATCTACTGCATATTCCTATCATTGCCCTTGACCAAGGAGCTGGAATTATTAAACAACATTTTTATTTACATCATTACAAAGAGTATGGTCTAGACCTACTCTATATGAGCATATGTCAATCAATATGAACTGGCACTGTATAAATAAAATAAATTTAAATTTCAAGCTTAACACCTGTTGGCTGACTCAGTGTTTCCCAGTCACAGGCAATACTTTGACATTTAACGTATTCAGAAAAAAGATAAAAAATAAAAATAAATCAAAATAAATCACATAGATCACAAACGCCTATAAGCTCATTAGTAAGCAATTGGGAGAATCTGAAACTCTATTCATCTTTCAAATGCTGCACAAATATTCACTTGGGTATAATTTTGGAGGTCTGAACCAGATCCAATATGCAATCGACCCAAAACAGACCTCAATACAGAGAAATACAGCAACTCCGGCAACAGCATGTTGCACCAAAATTTAATGAGCAGCCATTGTCGAGAGCAGAAATACATATCATTAGATTAGACTAAATATATTTTGAGGTTGCAAGGAACAGAGTGGACCTGTAAAAACATCTACTTCTGCCATTGCATTTGCTTCAGGCCCTGTGTTCACTGGGGTTTTGGAGAAACTCATGTGCAGAGTGCATTATGAGTAGTTTATGGGTTATGTTTAGAAAACTTGAGGAGGAATTAGATTGATCAATGGCATTCATCATCATGAACATCTGCAAACCCCTGTTGATATACAGTGTTTTTCAAAGAGGCAGTACAATATCACTGATTACATCTTTAAATAACTGGATTAATCTGATCAAAATGTGTTAATGTTAGTACATTTGTAATGGCATCGCTAGACACAATATGATTTTAGATATGAGTGGTTACATGAAAACACTTCTGAATCAGTGTGAGCATGTGTGTTTTTTATGTGTGCAACAGTGCATGAGTAAGTACATACAGATGTGGTGTTTTATGTGCTATAAATATATTTATTATGGATCAACCCTTGCAGAATTTGATAATTTATGAAGACTATGAAGATTTTCTATGGACTTTGTGTATGCTGCCATATAGAGTCAAACAGACTGTTGTCTGTCAAATATTGCACTAGAATTTACTATAACACTCACTTAGTGAGAAAATAATTTTAAAAAAGTGCAATGTGCTACAAAGCACAATCTTTGTATAGTGCCAAAATTATGTGCCAGCTTTCACTGTGAGAAACTACACACAACTCATTCTCAGTGAGTTTTGAGAGATCATAAAGTTTGTAGCATCATACAAACTTGAACTCAGGTTTTAGAAGATCATCAGCAACCTTTCGAGTTGTTCCAGAAACTTCCATATGTTTTCTCCAGACAGGTGTTTCATAACGCAACATTAACAGTTAAGCCATGTTTCCTTTAATATAAATCAGGCTGTTTCAGGAAGCAGGTTTATATAAGTCTGACTTAAGTTACCATGGAAACTAGCCCTCCAGAGTAGCATAGTCTTCTCTAGAAATACTATTATAATAATTTTTTTATTTTCTGATTGAGAGTGACATGAAAAGATATATATCAACCTTGTATATGTGGGTTAAGTAAAGAGCTTAGCCACCATAAGGTGGTTAGCCTAACTTAGCATAAAGGATTAGTCTGTGACTTATTCTAAAATCTAAAAAATTTTTGGTCTTTATGCTAAACTAAGCTAATCTTCTCCTAGCTCCACCTCCATACTTAAGGCACAGACATGAGAGTGATAATAATCATCTCATCTAACTCTCGGAAATAAAGCTGGCCTTGGCAATAAAAGTTTAATAAAATTATCTTAATTTAAGGTCAATTTAGCTTTTTAACCCATCTAATGGCCTCAATTAACGATGATTCAAGTTGGCTTGAATTTGGCATGAAGACTGTGATATGTATAGAATGTCCCAATTTTGAGGCCACATAGTGGGGTGTATTTAGCACAGAAAAATATGTTTCACATGTACAGAATTATATTTTGTGCAGAAAGGAAAACCATGTGAACAATTATTTAATTTGGATTAAATTCTGTGCTATTATCCACATAAATGCATAATAATAACCTCTCTTGCTCAATGTAACTCATTTGCCAAGTTCCCTACTTTCAAACCCTTCCCCACTTGCAAATATAATTCACCAAACAAAAATATTTTTCTGTGCTCAGAACCCATCATGCATTCTGAAACAAGACACAAATATAATGCCATAGAGTAGCAGTTCAACAAGTGAGAGAAGTATTTTTCAAGCATAATCCGGATTCAACTTGCTAGGATCACTCAAACTAGTTTTTTTAAAGTAAGCCCTGCTTTTCTGAGCCTTCTTTATGAAACACCTCTCAGGTTCGTGGTATTTAGCAGCACATTTGGAACAAGTGAAAGTGCATAAGTATTTTTTTATCACTCAGATAAACTCATCCTTACATTTTATTCTACTTTTAGGCCATAATCAGGCCTTCATACTGGAACTAGTGTTACATTAAAGAAGGATGAGTCCTATCACTATGTTATATTGTAGGTTAAACACAGATGTTCACTTATAGGTCAGCATATTCCAGTTTGATGTGGGCGTAGGTGTGATCATCAAACGACACCAACCCTCAGCCTGACGTTGATGACTCTGTACATGTGGTGTGTCTTTGTGTCCCAGTGTTGTGACAGCAGTAAGTGTCTTTCCAGGGCGGGGGCAGGAATCACTGGTCAAACCTGTTGAAATGACACAAGGATGCTGTCCAAACGTAAAACCATTTTTAATGTGCCATTTTTTATTTCCCACTTCTATTGTAGATTTTCTCAACAGTGTAAAGAAATAAAGTGACACCTTGTAAGACAAAGAGAGTACCAATATAATCACTGTGTGTTGTCCGCACTAGAAATAAAGATTTAAGGTGATACACTGCATGAGTCATTTTTCTCTCTCTGTACTGATGGGAATACCTCCCATTACATTGCCCACATGCCTGTATTAAGGTTATTGTCTTTTACCTTTTTGTACGCTTCCTCTAGGGTTGCCCATTTTTGGACTACTCTATCAGGCTCTAAACTCAGTTTAATGTGGTCAAACAGCTTGGCAGCTATCTCCTTCCACATTAGCTTCGTTGAACCCTTGCCCATCTTCACCCTGGCATTAAATTCTGCTAGGTTTTTAGGTTGCTCACCTCCATCTGATTGTAGCTTCTGCCTCAATGATCAACGAGAAAGAAAGTTTGCTCTCTGTTAAAACTGTCATGACAGGGTAGCGGTGCACTGGCAACACTTGTACAGGGCATCTTTTTGTATTGCTGTTCTGTATCCTCTCCAACTAAATAAACATGTAAACATGTGGTCTGATGATTGCACAAAAATAATTGCTTGTGCAATTATCCATCTGTATTAAAAGTTGGTCAAATCATTTTACACTGATTAAGGCAGTGAATTACTGAATGTAAAGTGAAAAGTATATTTAGTATAGGTTTGCACTACATCCCAACACTACAGCAGCTGGCTTATCAGATTAGCACACTTTAGAGGTGTGGTATGTGATTCTGATAACCGCTAATCCAATATACTTTTTGTCACATTCCTTACTTCCTTGACAAGATGGCGCCGCAGACGGCAGCCTCTGGATTACGCTCCGTAGTGCTTTTTGTGTTTTTGTTTATTAACGTTTCTAACGTCCCTCTCTGGTAACATTTACCAGAGAAGAGCTCTTAAATATTGGACTTTCAACTGCTCATATTATTCCACCGCTCCTTAACGAACCCAGAACTTTCCCGGAGTTATTAGTTGGAGTGGCAGCTCTGTTTGCGATCCTCCGGAAACGTCGCAGGGGAAAACGAGCAGTGGTTAAACTGAGACAGCGGGGTTTTCGCACTGCCCTCCCTTCAATTCACCTGGCAAATGTCCGCTCTCTAGTCACCAAAATGGACGAACTGCTGCTCCTCAACAGAACTAACTCGGACTTCTGCAGATCTGCTGCCCTCTGTTTCACCGAGTCCTGGCTCACCGAGCAAATCCCGGACAGCGCACTTCACTTACCGGGATTTAATCTCATCCGTGCGGATCGCGAAAGGGAGCTCACGGGAAAAACTAGGGGAGGCGGACTATATAAACAAAGGTTGGTGCACAGATGTCACAGTGTTGGACAAATCATGCAGCCCTCACTTAGAGACATTATTTATAAACTGTAAACCTTTTTATTCACCGCAGGAGTTTTCCTCGTTTGTCCGGGTCGCTGTTTACATTCCACCTCAGGCCTGTGTTAGTGAGGCGTTACTACACCTGGCCGACCAGATAACTAACGTGGAGAAAAAACATCCAGACTCCCTGCTCATTGTTCTTGGGGACTTCAAAAGAGCAAATCTCAGCCACGAACTCCCAAAGTACAGACAGCATATTCAGTGTCCCACCAGGGACACTAACACACTGGACCACTGCTACACTACATTAAAGGACGCCTATCGCTCTGTTCCCCGTGCAGCCTTAGGATTCTGTGATCACTGTCTGGTTCATCTTATCCCAACATACAGGCAAAAACTGAAATCTGCTAAATCTGTTGTAAAGAGTGTGAAAAGATGGATCAACGAGTCAAAGCTGGAGTTACAGTCCTGCTTTGACTGCACTGACTGGAGTGTTTTTGAGGCTGCAGACTAAAACCTTCCGCACATACAACAACCAAAAACTCTGGTTCACAGCGAAATTCAGGCAGCTTCGTCAGACCAAGGAGGAGGCCTTCAGAAGTGGGGACAGAGTCCTGTATAACCAGGCCAGGAACACACTGTCTAAGGAGGTTAAAGCAGCAAAGCGATGCTACGCTGAAAAGCTAAATAACAGCTTTGCAGCCAACGATCCTGCGTCTGTGTTGAGAGGCCTGCGGACACTCACCAACTACAGAAGACCATCCCCCAAACTGCTGGTACTCAACAACTGGCAGACGAGCTGAATGACTTTTATTGTAGATTTGAAAAGCCCACAGTCACACCTCTCCCCCGCTCCAACACCATCTTCAAACAGTCATCTTCCCCCTCTGACACACTGCCACCCCCTCTCTCTGACCCATCACCTGCACTCAAGATCTGTGAAGAGGATGTGCACCACCTCTTCCAAAGGCAGAAGATCAGGAAGGCTCCTGGCCCACGACGGTGTGTCTCCATCCTGTCTGAAAATCTGTGCAGACCAGCTGGCCCCCATCTTCACACAGATCTTCTACAAATCACTGGAGCTGTGTTCCCGCCTGCTTCAAACGCTCCACAATCATCCCGGTCCCCAAAAAACCCTCTCTGGACTAAATGTCTACAGGCCCGTCGCCCTGACATCTGTAGTCATGAAGTCCTTTGAAAGACTGGTGTTGGCCCACCTGAAGGACATTACAGGCCCCCTGCTGGACCCCCTGCAGTTTGCCTACAGGGCTATCAGGTCAGTGGATGATGCTGTCAACTTGGGACTGCATCACATCCTGCAACACCTCGACTCTCCAGGGACATATGCAAGGATCCTGTTCGTGGACTTCAGCTCGGCATTCAGCACCATCATCCCGGACATCCTCATCACCAAACTGACCCAGCTCACTGTGCCAGCCTCCACCTGTCAGTGGATCACCAACTTCTTGACTGACAGGAGTTAACAGGTGAGGCCAGGGAACATCACATCCACCCGGACTATTAGCACTGGTGCCCCCCAGGGGTGTGCGCTCTCCCCCCTGCTCTTCTCCCTCTACACCAACGACTGCACCTCAGGAGACCCATCTGTCAAACTCCTGAGGTTTACTGACGACACAATGGTCAGTCTGTCCTCTGCACGTCCATCACTGTCTGGTTTGGATCTGCCACCAAAAAGGACAGGAGCAGACTACAACGGACAGTCAGGACTGCAGAAAAGATCATCAGTGCCAACCTGCCCTCCATTCAGGACTTATACATTTCCAGAGTCATGAAACGGGCAGGAAACATCACTGCAGATCCATCTCACCCCCGGATACAACCTATTCCAGCTTCTCCCCTCTGGTAGTCGCTACAGAGCACTGTACGCCAAAACCAACAGACTCGGGAACAATTTCTTCCCACAAGCCATCATTCTGATGAACAGCTGATTTCTGACTCACAGTGTCAGGAACAATTCTTGTGCAATAACCCAGTAACTCTGCCTCTAATCAGCCACCTGTTTACTGGCTAACACTTATTATTTGTTCACCATTCTCTATTTCAGTGCTGTTCATACTGTTATATTGTCATATTGTAGATACTGTACCGCCACCTACCTCAAGTCATTACTCCTGCACAAAATACTTATTTATTCCAGCATCCTTTGCACTATGCTTCATTGCACTATGTGTACATGTATGCATGTATATGTACCTGTGTATCACATCCACCTCCGACATCTACATACTCTTGCATCCTTTGCACTCTGCTCACTGCACTATTTGTCAATATGTCTATATTGTTTTTGTTCATAGTGTGTATATTTGTGTTGTCTACACTGAAGTCTGTGTCTGATTTTATTTTATTTTTGTTATTGATTTTGTATTTTTGTATGAGTAAGCACATTGTGAGCAATGTACAATCCAGAGTCAAATTCCTCGTACACATACCTGGCAATAAAGCTGATTCTGATTCAGTGAATATTACGTCAAGATTCATTCTGTGTGTGTGCTGAGAAAAATCCAGCGTTTGTACGCAGCTGTGGCTCTGTAAATGGGAACCAATCAAAGTGGCCAATCGGCAACAGGTGTCATTTGTGCTCGTGCACAGGACATAGGACATGAAAGGGACAGAAAATCTGGCACATGCTAACAGCCACAGAGAGATAGTTGAGAAACTGACAAAAAAGAACAGAGATTGATAAAGAAGCTTTAAAGAGGTGGTATTATGCTTTTTGGCTTTTTCCCTCTCCTTTATTGAGTTATATACCTTTTGCATGTAATAGGTTTGCAAAGTGAAAAAACCCAAAGTCCAGCCCAAAGGGAGTTCCCATCTCCCACAGAAAACGCTCTGAACTGCCTGAAAACAGCTTGTTTGTAGTCCAGCCTTTTTTTCGTTACCATGTTACGTCACGTGGTAACACGGGTCATAATGCTCGCCTAGTGGCTAGTCAGGCACGCCCTCAAAAACACTGGTGGAAAAAAAACACTGAGGTGCACAAGACAGCTGTCTGCTGCCTCTCCTGTCACATCCAAACACCAGCTGCCCTCCAGGCAGTCAGTGGACATAAAGTTGTTCCTGTGATGTAGAGACAGAGCTCAGTTAAAACTTTTGGATGAAAAATACTTTTGTTACAGATTAATAAATCACCACTCTGAAACTCTTGCTCCAGTCCATGTTGCCAAGCTGGTAAGGGGAAGATGTACAGTTGAACCAAAGCCGTGTTTACTGGCTTTTCATGACCTGCCCTACTCTGCTTCTGATTGGCTAGTAGTCCTGAACTAGGAACTACACATGTGTAACTCCCAACAAAGATCTTGTAGAAGTGAGATGCAAAAGCTCATGAAGTGAGGTTTTCGATTTTTCGCGAAATGAAAACGTCATTGCACAGAGGCGTGTCCTCGGCAGCATCCCCCAAACACGTAGACGTAAGGTTTATGAATGTGCAATGTAGTGAGCCGTAGTTATCCGGCAAAATGTCCTTTGGTTGAAAATCCCATTGAAATGAATGGGGTGAGCTTCGATTATAGCGCCACCTTTTGCCCGAAGTGCACCAAAGTTTTCAGGTGTCATCAGGGCCTCATGGGGAACAATTGACCCAAATGTGGTGTCAATTTTTTGACGTCTTTAATCTGCAAACAGCGCCACCTATGGGCATATTTGGGTGAACATTGGTGCCTGTAGTAAGGGGACCATGCTGAACAATTCGGTTCTGGTTTCATGTCAATGTGACTTGTGGTTATAGAGGAACAATTTTTTGGGAT